CACCCGATGGTTACCCGATCCAAGGCCGACATCTTTTGCCCTAAACAAATCCTAAACCTCAACACCGTTGTACCCATCTCCCCCATACCCCCTACCTACCGTAGTGCTCTCAAAGATCCTAACTGGTACAATGCTATGCTAGATGAATATAATGCCTTGATAGCTAATCATACATGGGATCTAGTACCCCCCTCCCCAAACCAAAATGTGATCTCCGGAAAATGGCTCTTCCGCCACAAGCTTGGCCCAACAGGTGAACTGTCCAGGTACAAAGCCCGATGGGTTGTTCGTGGGTTTAACCAACGCCATGGCATCGACTACGGCGAGACTTTCATCCCGGTTGTCAAACCGGCCACTATACGCATCGTTCTGAGCCTAACCGTGTCCAGAGGATGGCCGATCCACCAATTCGATGTCAAAAATGCTTTCTTGCAGGGCTACCTCTCAGATACTGTTTACACCGCTCAGCCTTCGGGATTTCAGGACCCTGCTCACCCACACTATGTCTGCAAACTGAATAAGGCACTCTATGGACTCAAGCAAGCCCCCCGTTCTTGGTACCAGCGATTCACGGGATTTGTTCTCTCTCTTGGCTTCAGTGGGTGCAAGAGTGATGCCTCCTTGTTTGTTTACAGTCGCAGACAGGACATGGCCCTACTTCTACTCTATGTTGATGACATTGTCCTCACTGCATCATCCCCTGCCTTACTACACTAGCTCACAGAACGACTAAAAGGGGAGTTTGCCATGACAGATATGGGAGACCTCCACTTCTTTCTTGGGATCAATGTTCAGCGGACCTCTCACGGCCTGTTCCTCACCCAGACTCAGTTTATCTATGACATCCTAGAGAGGCATGACCTCGTGCAAACCTGTTTCTACACCCATGGACACCCGCGGGAAGCTCTCGGCCACTGTTGGCCCTCCAGCGCCAGATCCCTCTCTCTATCGCTCTATTGTGGGAGCTCTGCAGTACCTCACCTTCACATGCCCGGACATTACCTATGTCGTACAGCAGCTATGTCTCTTTCTTCATGATCCTCGAGTGCCGCATGTCACAGCTATGAAGCGCGTTCTGCGCTATCTTCACGGTACACCCACCCATGGCATCACTATCTCACCATCTCAGACAAATCATATGCGGGCATACTCTGATGCTGATTGGGCTGGCTGCCCAGATACTCGTCGATCGACATCCGGTTACTGCATTTTTCTAGGCGACAATCTCATCTCCTGGTCGTCTAAGCGACAACTCACCACCTCTCGATCCAGTGCTGAACCAGAATATCGAGCTGTCGCTAATGCCGTCGCTGAAGTCTGTTAGGTGCACAATCTTCTTCTTGAGCTCCGGCAACCTCTGATGCGCTCCACACTGGTCTTCTGTGATAACATCAGTGATGTCTACCTTTCAGCCAATCCAGTCAAACATCGCCGGAAGTTTCGCCGAAAATTCTCGAAACCTTCGATAAGCTTCGCGGTAAGCCCATAGATATATCTAATGACTAGAATGTTCATATAGATCGTTTTTACGTTCATAAACGGTCGTTTGGTTGAGTTTTGTGTTTGACATGCTTGAAGAAGCAAGAATCATAAACCATGAAATTGATTTTAAAACTATGAATTAATGATGCCAAAATGACCTATGAACCTTGGAGAACATCTTTATATAGTTTCGTTGAAGTTTAGTAGCTAAAAACGGTTTTTCCGAAAAATGGACCGATGGTTGAAGATGAATGAACAATAGCTGAAAACTACTGCCTAGATCAATCCTAAGGCTTGGATTGATCCTATGGGAGGAGTTTTACATATCATGGATCGATTCAAAGGGCTGGATCGATCCCCCAAAAATCTGATCCGAAAATTTATCTGAAAACGCTATTTTTGAGCTCTAAAATCCTATTTTTGATACCAATTGATTATGATCATTATAAAAATAATTTTCCACAATAAAAATTATGTTTTTAACAAAAAAAATTTATGTGATGCATGACGGTAAGTTCAGGTGTTAACACTCGAAGCTAGGCCGCTATTTGTTATCAATTTATATGTTAATTGATGATTTTTATGATAAATGAATATTATGGATGATTATGAATAATGAACCTACTGATTAAAATGAGTATCTATGATTGTATCATGAGTAAAATGAATACATTTATAATTATGAAATAATTTGTAGTGTTAAGGGTATCTAGAAGAATACTAAGGGGCTGTTTGTTTCAGCCTCTTAATGGTTCAGATGTCTGAATGGTTCAACACTTAATGGTTCAGACTGTTTGTTTCAGCCTCTTAATGGTTCAGATGTCTGAATGGTTTAGACATTTGCCTCTGAACGGTTAAGTCTTATACAGAGTCTGAATGGTTAAGACCACTTATCTGAATTGATCAGACATTTTCCTCTGAATAGTTAAGCAATATACTAGCTCTTAATGGTTCAGACCTCTTACTGGTTCAGCACTTAATGGTTCAGACCTCTTACTGGTTCAGCACTTACCTATTCAGAAGTTGCCAAACAGCCCCTAAGATATACCCATTTAGAAAATTGATGTTAAGGCTATCTAGAAGACCTCTAGAATAGATCTCCTATTAGTATGAATTTGTGAAACATGGATATTCAGTGATTGGATGAAAATATATAACGGAATTCGTAGACTAAACTGCATAATCACTTGTTTGGAAATACTTTGACTCAATGATGATTAATCACTGTATTATTGTTGCCTTGAACTAATTATAGTTTAAGCGTCTGAGAGTTGTTGATTGCCTTAAACTAATTAAAGTTTAAGCGTCGGAGAATTATTGCCTTAAACAAATTATGGTTTAAGCGTAGGAGAACTGTTGCCTTAAACTAATTATAGTTTAAGCGTCTGAGGATTGTTTGCCTTAAACTAATCATAGTTTAAGCGTCTGAGAATGAAATTATGATTTGGCCTTAGACTAAGATTAGCTAAGATTGTTGTTATGATCTGGCCTTAGACTAAGATTAGCTAAGAGCATTGTTATTATTTGGCCTTAGATTAATAATAATTTAGGAGCACTGTCGAAATAATATCCGAATTGAATAAAATGTGTTGTTATGAACCGAACAATACCAAAACTGTGAATGTC